GTTTTCATGTTCCTGTATTTTTAGGTTTGTGCGGAGTTCCACCGAGTCACAAACATCAACCTGCAGAAACAGTTCTATGCTGAACTTGACAGACACACACCACGACTTATGGCTCTATACAGACAGAAGTCCACATGCACTGGCAAGATATCGGAGGCTCTGCGAAACATTCTGAATCATTATGATCATCAGGTGAATATTGATAAAGATAAAATTGCTACCACAAATTTAAAAAGTTTCTATGTTAATCACTCAATTTTGCTTGTTTTTAGACTGCCTATGGGCTACTGTTAATTGCTGGGGACATCTGTTTTCTATATACACCAAAGACAAATATAAATGCAACACTTTTGTTTTTGCTCCCAGTGTTCATGAGCTGAACTCAAACATCTGAAACTTTGTCCACATTCACAAAACACCCATGACTTTCAAATACTGTTCTGAAATCTGTCTACATGTGTGTTAGTGAGCACTTATCCTTTACCAAGATAATCCATCCCACCTCACAGGTGTGGCATATCGGTGGGCTGATTAGACAGCATGAGTAATGTACAGGTGTGCCTTTGACTGCCCACAATAAAAGGCCACCCTGAAATGTGCAGTTTGATCAAACAGCACAATGCCACAGATGTTGCAACCTTTGAGGGAGCGTGCAATTGGCATGCTGACTGTAGGAATGTCTACCAGAGCTGTTGCCCATGAAAGGAATGTTCATCTCTCTACTATAAGCTGTCTTCAAAGGCGTTTCAGAGAACTTGGCAGTACATCCAACAGGCCTAAAAAAATGGGAGCAAAAACAAAAGTGTTAGTCTTGATTACCCTGAAAAAAACTGTTTAAGATTTTTGTCAAACGAGTAAGAAACAAGCTCTTTGTCATGAGAGACAGAAAGGTTGTGTCTCAAAAGAAATGTCTCCAAAATTATGCAGAGCCGAATGTGTCATAAACATGTATTCTCCCCAGGCAATGACACCTGTAAACTTAGTATTAAATTAACTCTTATTTTCTTTTCCCTTTTTAGGAAGCACCTGATGTCGATGTGAAACGGACTGCAGTGCTACGTGCCCTTCCAGTATACCTGCGGGAGGAAGACCCAGAATTCTTTAAGACATGTGATGTAAGTGTCTCTTGCATTACTTAAATTCTACCAGTGAGATAACACACCATGGATTATTTTATACGGTTTTATTACAAAGCAGCTTCACAATTGCTCTAACAAACATTGCATTAGACTTGTGTGTTTTTTTTTTGGGGGGGGGGGGGGGGGGGGGGGGTCAAATTAGGGTGTGTGTGTCACAAGTGGGGGTGGGGGGAGGCAAACCCAAATAGATTGCGCACACGCAGAAACCCTGATTTCGCTATTGACCCTTTGCACTTGACTGCCCCGTTCTCCATGATGGTCGGCAAAAAGACCGTTTACACACGTCAAAATTCTGGTCAAAACAAGCCCGTTTGTAGCCTTTTATCGCTTTTATTTACTTAGTTTCACAGTAAAATGGTAACAACTTGCTACGTGGCCAGCTGCACTAACAGAAGGATGTAAAGTCAACTCATTTCTTTATTTATTTTTTTCAAATAACGTTGATTGAGACTGAGGACGGAGATGAACTACAGCTATCAATCAAACAGACTAGCAACCCTCAGGTTTACAGCGAATGTGTTTTTACCGGGTAAAATTAACGTTTATTTATTTCATGATGAGGACAGGGACAAATGTGATGCGTTCTTCTGATGGATGGATATTTCATCATGGAAGACGCACGCATACCTCGGTACCGTCCACTGTAGTGAACATGCATATTACACCAGAATTCTGTCACCCCGTTTTTTTAAGATGGCGACTGCACGTCTTATGTTTATAAATGTTCTTCTGTAGCTGACAAGCAGAGCTAAAACACGTTGTTTTACAAGTATTATTCTCATGTCATGATGTGTTTTCATATAGTTATATTTTAAACACTTGTCCATGAAAAGTTCATCAACTCTACATCAGCCAGGTACTTCCTTAAATTTGAAGCAGGAACGCGGTAGTCTAAACGCTACTGATTAATTCTGGTCGGCGCTCATTTTCCTATTTCGCGGGGCAGGGGAACAAACTTTCTGCTTCCTGTTTTGTTGCTCTCCTGTGTCTTCGTTTTGTTTCTTTCTCACATTATTTTTGAAGTTCTTTTTTTCATGTGACGAGGTTGGCATCCTGTTTCTCCGACTTGTTTTACTGCAGGGTTTTGCGTTAACGCACCAACAAAACCATACCTGTCGGTAGATTTGTAGCGAAGCGTTGATGACGTCGACGGCTCGATTCTAAAAATTCTTTGACGTCAGATCCAGTAGTCGACGCACCATGCCCACTTGTTGCATCCCCAGGAGTTTGTAAATAGAGGTGGAATCTGCCTGTTTTTCCTCTAGTTCGCCCTCTTCTCCACCTTCACTAACATCTCCGCCAATTACCGAAGACCCGGAACAATGTCCGTCCGCTACTAGATTCCTTTCCTGTTTTGCCCGCCTTCGTCTCCCGCTCGATACCCAACCCTAGTTACTATAAACACACAAATCTAATTAATTAATTTACACATTTTCTAAAAGAATAGTAAATAGAGAACTCTTGATGTGTCACTAACGTGTTACCCACAAGACTGCAGAATATTTTGCTAGATTACAAATAATGCTTGTCACGGCCTTCAAGTCAACCTTACTTATTGATACTGTGTTTATTCCAGGCGGGCACGCTGGATGAGACGAACCTGACTGACACTCCAGTTGCCCTTCTCACAGTGGTTGCTGACGGCGCTGCTGAGACCAGTCCAGTCCATTTCAGTCCTTCAAGCATGGCTATTGTGGTGGAAGGTGACTTGGTGATCCGTGATATTGCCAGATTTGCTGATGCATATGCCTTATTGTTTGGCTTGATCTATGCTCTGCATTTGGACTACCCCAGGAAACTAGTTCACACATTCACCTTTGTCCAGAAAGTCTTCATGGGGCTTGATGATGGCAAACCACTGAAACCCAGCCTTCATGCTCTTAGAAATGATTTGTTACAGATTGAGTAGTTATGAAAGATATGCAAGGCAACTGGTTGTTAGGACAGGCACACTGTTACTGAGCACCTTCTTTGAAGTATTTTATTTAAAGCACTTTTAAGTTTTCTACAGGCTTTGGGTGGATGTAATTCCCATAAGTTTACCTCATTTTTTTATACAAAGTTATTTGGGTGCCGATAAACATTATTTGAACCTGTTTAAAAAACATTTATTTTATTTTATTTTTGTTTATTTAAAAAATCTCTTTTGTGTTTGACCTTTTGTTTTTCATTTTTATATATTAGAAGACGTCAAAGAAAGATGACTTTTAGGACTGACGTTCTTTTATGATTTTATAAAAATGTTATTAAATGTTATTAGCAGCATTTTGTATGCTCACTTGTGCTCCAGTCCATGTCAGTGGTTCCTGTTGGTGGTTTTATAAAACAAATGTATGTGATGTTTTTCACAAGTCCATAGATATGTTAATAAACAAAATGTTAAATGAATCGCCGTATACTTTTTTGAGTGGTCCACACACAATTAATAAAGGTAATTTAATTAGTTAATAATCATATTATTTGAGTTTAGGTTGTAATATAATTACATTCTGTTGCATCAAATAATTTAACTACAACTAACACAAAAATGTTAAAATTAAAATATATAAGTTTTAAGTTTATCTTAATAATTAAAATATAGAATATTATCTGAAAATTTTAAGTTAACAATAAATAGAAATTTTGAGCACCACCATACTTAAAATATATGGTTTGTCTACTTAAAACTTTTGTGGAAACTGATTACCTCAAAAATTTTAAGTTCAGTCAACTTATTCGGGTTTACAGTGTGTATGTGAGAGTGATGCAGATGAAGGCTCTTCTCCACCCACAGCACAAACAGAGCTGCTTGAGGTTTGCTAAAGCACATTTGGACAAGCCAGCTTCATGTTGGAATAAGGTGCTGTAGACTAATGAAACTAAAACTGAGTTATGCATGGAGGAACTAGAACACAGCATTCCAAGAAAAACACCTGCTACCTACAGTAAAACGTGGTGGCTCCATCATGCTGTGGGGCTGTGTCGCCAGTGCAGGAACAGAATCATGTTAAAGTTGAAGGACGCATGGATTCCACTCAGTATCAGCAGATTCTGGAGACCAATGTTTATTGTAAAAACCAACGATTTGTAAAGGAAAATCATGTAGATCAATGAGGCTGCCCAAACCTTTGCATCCCACTGTATACAGGTCAGAGAACTTGACTTGATTAAAAAAATGTTTGTCTTTTGACTTGACTCAGGACTTACGTATCAATACTTGCATGTCATTGGACTTGACTTGATTCAGTAAGTATACATCTTAACTTGACTCAGGGCTCGCATGTCTTGAGACTTGACCCAAGACTTCTTTGGACTTGACTCAGGACATGCACAACTTGGGAATTGACTAAACTAAATACTTGCATGGCTTTTGACTCGACTTGACTTAAAACTTGTATGTGACTTGACTTAATTCAGAATTGCATGTCTTGGAACTTGACCCAAGGCTTCTTTGGACTTGACATGACTCGGGACATGCATGTATTGGGACTTGACTCAAGACTTGTATGCCTTTGGGCTTGACTTGACTCAGGACGTTTATATTGGGACTTGACTTGACCCAAGATGTGCATTTCTTTGGACTTGGCTCGAAACGACATTTGACTCAGGTCTTTCATGTCTTGGGAATTCCCTCAGGACTGAAACACCTTTGCTTGTTTTAACTTGAGTTAGTAATGTGGAATTTAATTAACCTAGGATCCATTTGAAAGACTTGCAAAACAATGACTTGGCCCCATATCTGATCTCAGCTCCAGCAGCTGGAGGTGTGAAGATCACGTTGCGCAGATCTGCTTTCACTTTTATTTACAGAAAGGTGAACGTACCCTCCCCGAGGGCCGCCCACCACTGATTCCTTCAAACACGCAAAGCCAGGTCAGAAATTTGGCTTTGACGTTTTCTAGTCTGGGATTCATTTCATAAGATAAAGCTGACTGTTTTATTATTTTGGGTAAAACTGTGTTAAAAGACGTCTTCATGAGTGGTTCAACCCTCCGCAGAAAGCTGGGGAAGCGCGTGTAGGTGGCGCAGAGGAGGAGGAGGCAGAGAACGCGTGAGACAGAAGGATCCAGCGGGACCGACAGGCGGAAACACCGCAGTCTCATCCTGTCATGACGGATCTTTAACTCACAGACCCACTCCGTCAGCTCCGATCGGTAAAAGCTGATAAAATGATTTTTATTACGGTGTTATTTCTACTTGGTGAAGTCGGAGCGTTTGCGCTCCAGACGGACTGTAAACCAACCTGTAAGGTGAGTCTCGTGCACATTATTTATTATGCAGAAATTAAAACCAAGCTGCAGTTGTTGTTTTTTTATTTTTAACCAAACAGCGAAAACGCAGTGGAACTATTCACATTTAATGTTTTTCTTGTTTTTATTTTAGAAAGTAAACAACAAAGGTAAGTCTGACCTTTTTAATAGGATATTTAAAACAAATGTCCAGTCCATTGACCTTAGTCCTGTTGTCTTTTTGCATAGGTCCTGAGGGACAGTGTCCTATAAGTCTGACTTGGGTCCCACAACACACTGATGAAGCTTACTCTGAATATATCACTTTTAAAGTCTGGATAAAAACTGGGGGTATGTTTCTCAACCACATATTTCACCACACGTTTTTCTACACAAAGCACTTGCATTCGTTTTTTTGTATTTGACAACACTGCTGAAACCTTCCCCTCTTCCTTTCAGAGTTCAGTGAGTTCACGAAGATTACGGTTCTCACAGGATATGAGATGATCTACAAGCCATTCAGGAAAGGAGATCCACACAATCAGAAGGTCAATCAACTGAAGTCAAAGTAGCTCATCAGAATGTTGACCACTGTACAGATAAAACAGGCCATAAAACAGCCGTTAAGAACATAAACTGGCTAGGACTAAACAGCAAATAAACAATCTATGAACAGTTAATTTAAAAATACAGGGACAGTGTTGCACTTTAGCCAGGGAATAAAAATATGTTTAAAAACATTAAATTCAAGGCAGTTCTAGTTCTAGATTTTTTTCTGATGATTTTCAAATAAACAGCACACATTCAGTCTGTCTTTCACTTGCTTTCATTTATGTGTAAACAGTTCTGGGCTAGCCAACCTTGCAGATCTTTTAGTCAAACAGAGTCTATAACGGTCATTTTGGCAGCAACTATTTGAATGTTAAAATGAACTTTCAGCTCATGAAAATTACAGATGTGGTCATTTTTGTTTCCATTATAGAATATTTGGGGAATCCCATGTGGGGGGAGCCGTTCAGACCCATACGCCCTGGTAAGATGATTTATGAGCTCCTGAGGATTCTTAAATGATGACACAAAATTTAGATGCTTTTATCTTTTGAGAAAGATAGAAAATGGTTGTCTCATGGCTCAAGCTGGAAGGAACATTTCTGTGTCCTACATCACAAAATCATCAAGCTGCACAGTCTATCACAAAGTTGCAGGTGAAGTATTTTGTGTTTCTTTTCTCTCTTCGCTTAATTTTGAAAATTTCATTCATCCTGACTTTGCAATGGCACCATGAATGGCACAGAGACAGATTTAGAGTCAGGTGTTTGTTAGTTTAATTCAGTGGAAACTAAATATTCAAACATATATTTTTTAAAGTCAGACAAATTTTAAATTACCTTTTTAATATTCCAAGCCTTAACAAAATGTCCATGTTTTGTAAATGTTTGTAAACAATGTAAAGAACCAAGATCAAAACAAATGTTCAAGTTGCTGCCAAGCTCATTTGGATCACCATGGTAACCACATAGCTGTGTCACAGATTTAAAAAGAAACAGATTTAAGAAAATTTCAGCAGTGAGAGAAACACTCAGTGGCATTTTGATGTGTAAACATGTCAAAACATGGGCAAGGCAACTTTACTTGTATAGCACATTTCATACACAGAGGCCATTCAGTGTGTAGTCAGATGAGCTTATTTAATGTTGCTGAACGTAGACCTGACCATCAACAGCAACTCCAGATCACAGACTTCCCCCACAGACCTGTACAGTTGGTGCTGGACAGACCAAATACTTATTTTCCACCATAATTTGCAAATAAATTATTTAAAAGTCTAACAATTTGACACCATGGTTTTGATTTGGAAAAGGGTAGAAAGCCTTCTCCGGGTCAGGGATGAGGTCCTGCCCCAAGTGGAGGAGTTTAAGTATCTCGGGGTCTTGTTCACGAGTGAGGGAAAACTGGAGCGTGAGATCGATAGGAGGATTGGTGCTGCATCTGCAGTGATGCGGGCATTGTACCGGTCTGTCGTGGTGAAGAGAGAGCTGAGTCAGAAGGCGAAGCTCTCGATTTACCGGTCGATCTACTTTCTTACCATCACCTATGGTCACGAGCTTTGGGTAGTGACCGAAAGAACAAGATCGCGGATACAAGTGGCAGAAATGAGTTTTCTCCACAGAGTGGCCGGGCTCTTCCTTAGAGATAGGGTGAGAAGCTCGGTCATCCGGGAGGGGCTCGAAGTAGATTCGCTGCTGCTCCACATCGAGAGGAGCTATTGAGGTGGCTCGGGCCACTGGTCAGGATGCCTCCTGGACCCCTCCTTGGTGAGATTTTCCGGGCACGTCCAACCAGGAGGAGGCCTAAAGGGAGACCCAGGACACGTTGGAGGGACTATGTCTCTCACCTGGCCAGGGAACGTCTTGAGATTTCCCTGGAGGAGCTGGCCCAAGTAGATGGGGAGAGGGAAGTCTGGGCGTCTCGACTTAGGCTACTGCCCCCACGACCCGACTCCGGATAAGAGGATGAAGATGGATGGACTATGATTTTTTTGAATTTTTTTTTTCTCAATTTGTCTCTCGTAGTTGAGGTATACCTATGATGAAAATCACTGGCCTCTCATCTTTTTAAGTGTGAGAACTTGCACGATTGGAGGCTGTCTAAATACGTTTTTGCCCCACTGTATATGACTACAGTCAAAGGTTTCTCTACAGGAAAGATGCATTAAAGGTCTGTTAAAAAATAATTGTTGACTGATAATGGTATTGTTGTGTCTTTCAGTCACAATGTGCCAGCCATTTGAAGATTTGTTTTAATATAATTTAGTTTAAATCTAATTTCAAGCAACAAATCAGCACAAACATCCCCATTTAGGAAGTTGCAGAGATACGACACCCTGGCGCAGGCCGATGACTCAGTGCTCGCTGTCCCAATTCTGCAATTATTTGCAAACTTGAAGCCTAACATCATGCTCTTCCTCCAAGTGCACTTCATGGATAAAGATAGCTGTTTCTTAATGTTAGAAATACTTCATATATGACCATAGGCTGCAGTGTGGGTATTGGGACAGGGCCTAAGTAGAGGCAGATGCATCAGTTCCTACTGTACACACCTGTGGGGGCAGTGCTATGATCTGGGCTTGCTGCAGTTAGTCAGGTCTTGGTTCAGCAACAGGATGTGCTCCAAGAATGAGGTCAGCTAACTACCTGAATATCCTGAATAACCAGGTTATTCCATCCTGCCTGATGGCACGGGCATATTCTAAGATGACAATGACAGGATTCATCGGGCTCAAATAGTGAAAGAGTGGTTCAGGGAGAATGAGGCATCATCTTCACACATGGATTGGCCACCACAGAGTCCAGACCGTAACCCCTTTAAGACTCTTGAGGATGTGCTGGAGGAGGCTTTACTTAGACTCTCCTCAACAATATAATATAATGGTGAAAAATTAATGCAACATTACATTGAAGTAAACCTTGTGACACTGCAGAAGTGTATTCAAACAAAGCCACTGCGAATGTGTGCTGTAATCAAAGCTAAAAGCTTGTGGCATGTTCATGTCATGTGACCTCTTTTCCTTGTAGCAACTTTCTTTGTTTGGCTGGCCAACATTTTCAAAAGATGACAAATCAGCATATTTTAGTTGCTCTGCAGTTTAAACTTTTTAATCAGCTTTCTCTTCATTTTGTCTTAAACATAGATCCCAAGCCAGACTTCAGCTTTTCTGTGAACGAGTCCTCGAAAACCGTCACAATCACTGTGGATCCCGAAACAGAGGTCTTTGCAGGAATTTGTTACCAAAAGAGAGCTTTTTCTTGTTCTGTGTCAAATCGATTAACAGTTGTAAGTATGCAAAGCTGAGTAATCTGTGTGAAAATGAGATGTAATCTGGTGTAACGTCTGGTGTTTGCTCTTTAATCTTTAGGTCAAGTCAGCTGTTCTGAACATCCCTCACATGCTCCCCTGTGTCTGCATCGAGGTGAGCTCAGCAGGACTGAAGAAAGTTGCCCAACGCTTGTTTTTCATGCATGGATGTGTCCGTTTTCACCAACAGGTTTATTACAAACACGTGGATGCGCTGAGAAATAAAAAGTGCCTGTTTCAAAATGACAGCAGCATAGGTGAGTGTGACAGATGATATTTTATGTCAGAGGAAACCACATCATTCAACCTGAATTTGCACACTTCTTTCCTGTCAGAGTTTTCATACAAGCAGATTTTTTTCTCAGTTTTTTTTTGTTTTGTTTTCCTTTGAAGACCTCTGCATCTGTCAGCTCTTTCTGAGTTCACTTAAAAAGGAAATGCAATCATAAAAATGTTTGATTCTGTGGTGAAAGGTGTTTCAATCAAGACTGCAGTGGTCTAAGCTTTAAATCAACAAAGTGGTTTACATCTGACCCAGCTATGATGCTTTATGGGAAAAGGGGGATTCACATCACAGAAGTAGGTTTCTGTGGAAAGGTTGTGAAGTCTTAATTTTTAGCCTGTTGTAGATTGCTCGTTGAACAGCCTCAGTTTCAAGAAAGAAGGGTTTTTTCTGGTTGAAATGATGAGCTAACAGCTAATCACAGTGGTCAAAATTCTGAATCAATTACGACACCAAGCTTGCAAATAATTCTGTTTATTTACCCTGGAATGAAACATAGACCTGGTGATATATCTTTGTTTTATTTGGCTCTAACGTGTGTATGTCTGCGCCAAAGTCTGCTTTAAAACCTAAAGGTCTAGTTAGAGAAATAATTAATTAATTTATTTGATTTGAGCAGAATTCTTTTTACTCCTTTTCACTGGATTACAGCCAAAGAAATGTCAATATTCTGTCGTCTTTGCTTTTATAAACTTGATCAAACAGAACCTTTATTCTGATTTGCACATTTTCAAGGCTACCTCCTGAATTATTGTTCTTCTTTTTAAGTTCAGACTTTGGCTGTGAAAGAAGAGATCATTCCAGTGTCTTAATTCACTAAATTAAATATTTTAGTAATCTAGAAGCCAATGAGAGCATCATATGATTGAAGATCTGATAGTGGAACAAAGACGATTCAAACATGATTTAGTAGTACTTTCAGTTATTTAAATGGTTGTTGATGGTCACAGGTTAGGGTGACATATTTCTCTCAGTAATGTATAACAATTCAAACATAAACCAATTTGTTTTAAGGGAAAAAAAAAGAACATTGGTTTCTTAGTTTCTGTGATTAGATAAATGGGTGCAAATGCAGTCAGCTGTGGTCGTACGAAGGAGAATCAGGGGGTTGGAAGCTCAACCCTTGGCTACTCAAATGGACAGACGGCTGAGCATATTAAATCCTCTTTTCTGCCATAAAAATCAAAAGATTTCTTCCATAGGTGTTAAACCAGAACTGAATATACTTTTTATTTTTCTCTCATGTCTTTGTAACCCTTTAACTGGTAGATCGACCTCAGTCCAACATTTTATGTGTGTTTGTATATGAAGCTACATATGTGCATGTAGCTGGATTCCATGAGCAAGCCCAAGTAACAAGGGAATGAGCCCAAGCGGGTAGACCCAGACAAGGCCTGCTATATGAAAAAAAAAAAGCTTACACATCCTAAATTTAAGTGTGCTATTAGGTTCATTAAGAAGAACGAACAAGCAATGAGGTCTGATTCCTTGGCTGGGAAAATACTATCAAAAAATGTCTTGGATTTTTGGAAATAGATACGAGTTCCTAATAAAAACAAAACTGTTTTGCCTCGCTGTGTTGAAGGTATGTCTAGACCAGACAATATTTTTGAGCATTGGAAACAGCATTATGATGCTCTATTTAACTGCATATGTAGTGAACAAATGAATGTAACAGTGATAAACAGCACAGAGTCCATTAGTGTTACAGCTTGTGAGGTGCGTCAAGCAGTGATTGAGCTTCCAGACAGTAAATGTTGTGGTCTGGATGGAATATACACGGAACATCTGAAATATGCTAACTTTAGGTTATTACCTCTACTGGCAATCTGTTTTACTAGTTGTTTGATACACGGCATTCTGCCTGATGCAATTATGTCTATTATTCTGGTCCCTGTCATAAACGATAGAGCAGGTAGCATGGACAACTATAGGCCTGTTGCATTGGCAAGCATTATTGTATCCAAGGTAATGGAAAAAGTGCTACTAAGTAGGCTAAAGGATTTTATCTTCTCTACAGTTAATCAGTTTGGGTTCAAGTCTAAGTTTAGCACAGATTTGTGCATATTTGCTTTAAAAGAAATCATTAGGAAGTTTCAAAGAGGCAACTCGTCTGTGTTATTATCCTTTATTGATGCGTCTAAAGCCTTTGACCGTGTAAATCATTTGAAACTGTTTGTTGAAATGAGACAACGAGAGGTTCCTAAGGACATTCTGAGGATCCTAGTCTACTGGTATGCTAATCAGGATACTCAGGTGAGATGGGGTGGTAGATTTTCTGCTCCTTTTGGTGCTACTAATGGAGTAAAGCAAGGCAGGGTACTGTCTCCTGTGCTTTTCAACTTGTACATGGATGAACTGTCACAGCAGTTAAATAATTCTAGAACTGGTTGTATGATTGGATCAACCCTAGTCAACCATCTTATGTATGCTGACGATCTTGTCGTCCTGAGTCCTAGTAGTGTGGGATTACAGGAACTGCTAGATATTTGCGCAAAGTACGGGGTGGATGTTGACATCAATAACAATTCTAGTAAGAGTGTCATCATGACCTGTAGAACAAAAGAAGATAAAGGGTTACAGTTTCCCCAATTTGAATTATGTGGTAATGTTTTGCCTGTGACGGACAAATATAAATATTTGGGGCACTTTATTAATGATGAATTGGCTGATGATGATATTGATCGGCAATGTCGTAGAATGTATGCACAGGCTAATATGTTAGTGCGTAGGTTTAGTATGTGCACTAATGCAGTTAAAAAGACACCCTTTAAAGTACACTGTACTCAATTATATACAGCTCATTTTTGGTCTTCCTATAAGCAAACAAGTCTTAGGCGTCTCAATGTAGCATATAATGATTGTCTGAGAATATTACTAAAGAGGCCTCGTTGGGAAAGTGCGAGTTGCTTGTTTGTCTCTTCTGGGATCAGTACATTCCATGCTATGTTGAGGAACTTGATGTTTAAGTTTATTTGTCGAGTTAATCAATTTGAAAATGTTATTATTAAGTGCTTGGTTAATGTTGACTGTAGTACCACACACTATCAGTCTGAATTATGGCATTATTGGTGTAGGTGTTTATATTGACTTCCTTGTATCTTTGTATTGTGTAGTTTTTATCTTATGTTTGTTTTTATTGTCTCTGGACCTTGAGTCTGTTAATAAAAGTTGATTGATTGATTGTTTGATTGATTGATTGAATTCATTCAACAGATGTGGGAGCTGTTTGGAAAACTTCTGAAGTCGTTGATGGTCCATCACAGATACAGTGGAGCTACTTGTGTCCCGCCAAAGATCTGAACATCTCTGCCTCCCTCTGCTGGAAGCTGCACCAACATCTCTGCATACCCGTGCTCAACTCTACACTGCAGAAACAACAAGATAACCCTATAGTAAAGGCTGAAGTGCTAAAGGTTGATTTTAATTTTAAATATTTTTTTTCCTGAACATATTCGGTCTTCCTCTAACAGACATTTGACACGTCTGCAGTGGACAAACATCCTCAGATGTGTGTGCAGGTAAGAATCAGCTGTATGTACTACATCCAAAGAAATAAATCATCCTGCCAAGAAGTTTACCATTTGTTTACTCTGTTTATTTATTTTACAGTTTTCCATACAAGGGAACCATAACATCTCATGCCGCTTCCAGGATGGTGAGTCACAACAGAGCCTTAAAGCTGCAACAGCAAATTTGGAAAACAAGTTAGTCATAAACATTTCATTGGAGGATCTTTTGTGACGTCAGCGTTTATGTTTCTCGCATTGCATCACGAGAGTGTGTGGTAAAAACAACGCATTTTAGCAAAGCAGATGGATCATTCTTGCCGTGTGGTTGATAGTTCGGTCCGTTGGAGGCTTGATAAAAAGTTTTATTGGAATTTCCTCGTAAACAAAAGAGATGATAGGAAGTGACGCGGACTTTGTAGAAAACCTGCATTCCTGCAGCAATGAAGGGTTTGTTAGGCTCTTTTAGTTCATGGTAAGTCCTCGTGACTGTGTTAATTAGAAAAGATGCTTTTAAAAACATTCATCTTCCTATATTTTAAATTCACATTCAGGGACAGCAGTAGCTCAGGATGTAGGGCAGGTTGTCCAGTAATCAAAAAGTTGCAGGTTCTTGGGCAAGATGCTTAACCTACCATGCCTGCTGGGGGTGGTCGGAGAGACCGGTGGCGCCTGTGTTCGGCAGGCCATTCAGGGCAGCTGTAGCTACATCGTAGCTCATCCCCACCAGTGTGTGAATGACTGATAGTGTTGTGAAGCGCCTTGGGGGGTTGTAGAACCCTAAGAAGGTGCTATATAAATACAGGCCATTTACATTTACCATATACCATTTAAATCCATGCAGTCATGTTGTTTCACCTGTTCTGATTCAGGCATCTGAACCCGCTGTCGTAATAATAATAATAAAGAAATAAATCAGGACACTGATTAATAAAGAATTACCCGGCGTTGCAGTCGCTGTGAGGATTTATCCGTTTTCTTTGGACATCACCCGCAGGTGGTGTACACCACGCTGTGGCTCTGCTCGTCGGAGCTAACAGCTGCTATTAGCATGACCACCCCTTTCTGTTTTCAGATGAGATCAGCTCAACTTTCCTCAAAACAAAATAATTGTAGGCCTCCAGACATTTGAAAGCCTTTAATTTTTTGTGAGTGAAGGCTGCAGGGCTTGGTGTTGAATAGGAATAAATGTCTCACTGCAGATTTGTGGGGGAGGACACTTGTTTTCTGTAATCCCAGAGCTCAAACGGGCTTAAAATAAATTTCATTTTGTCTTTAATACAGATTTAAAGCTTCTCTCTAAACCTCCTCCTGTCTTTAGACGTTGAAGTGTTTATATTTCGGGGATTTCTCCCGCAAGCTCGCTTAAAAGTTTACGTCGCGTATTGACAGCAGGCCATATTGTGTTTCTTTTTGCCACCCAGCCATTCGCGCATGTGCACAAAGATGAAGCAAGATTTCTACAAAGATCCTCCTATTTATGCCACACTACATCGTGAGTAAAAACGAGTAAAGTGTTTCTCTCCCGTTTGTTTCAAAACCTCCACCAGTAACACGGCTCAGACCAAAAGCAACTATTGGACGGTCCGGTTGTTGGTATGGCTGAACCGCTGCACTTCCTCACTTCCCTGGGTCCTCCATTTAGCAACAGCACACCACTGGTGTGAGAGGTTCTCCGTTCATCAGAGAAGGAGAAACAGCTGGCTGCTACCACTTCAGCGTTAGGACAAACTACCAGAGTCCCAAAAAAAAATACATTTGAAGTCACATAAAACAAAAGATGTTTGGAACTAGAAAATGGCGACTGGTGTTTAGTGCCCTCTCGTTTCCTGTGGCAATGCAAGTAACTGGTTCCAGCAGAAGCCACTCAGATACCCAAGGAGGTTCTGTAGATTCACTAACGCAGCTTTAATCTTTGGCGGTGACACAGCTACTGTGTCCTACAAAAGTTACGACTCCCAAAATTTTATAGAGTCCTCAAAGATAACTGAGAAGTTAACTTATCATTTAGGTGGTGATAATTACCTTGGTATCCATCGAATCACGCAATAATCAGATGCACATGAATTCATTTGACGTATGTTTTTGTTCATTTATTCAATATTATTTTTATTTATTCTTTTTTTTTTGTCCCTGAGCCAAAGTGAGGTGATGCTTTGTGAAAGTCCAGATGAAACCCTTTTCACTCTACTTATCAGAGAGGTGAGAAGCAGAAGAAAGCACTCTGCCATGAAAGAAACTTCAGGAGGTTTTGGTTGTCCCCTCCTGAGGAGGGCGCCACAGATTCATGTTGGCAGCAGTTCTGAGTTCAGCGTCACAGCAGGCTGCTTTGAGAGCATTTCTATAATCGAGAGGTGACAACTGTCAGAAAATGGCCTTGGGACTTAGCTGGCTGTAAAGAACATTATGGATTTAAAGATCAGAAGAACGACATCAGAGAACTCTGCAGATCTTAATACCATGTAGAACCTGGGATGAGGTCTTAAAAGCAGGTGGAAAAGCAGGAGGCAACAAACTATGCAAGAAAGGATCATCATCACTCAGGACTTTGTGCTGCATTTTAGCCCATAGCTACATTTTTGTGTTTTCATCTAACGACTTTTACATGTTTTTGATTGGATGTGCTAGAAAAGCCACCCTGGGAGACTTCTACTGAAGCAGGCAGGCGGAGCATTGTGGTGAACCTTACTTCCACCATTCCAGCAAAGTTCTCAGCACAACTCTGTGTCCTCACCGAGCGGAGATGTACTCCCATGGGGCCGATCCTCTCGGTTACAATGGTTGGTACTGATATGGAAACACGTGCAGATTCACACATTTGGGTAAACCAAACTGCTTTAACAAAGAAATCCTAATAATTAGTAAAGCCTAAAAACGATAAACGCACGATCCATAAAAACACATCAGTACCCTGCTGGTGAACTGAACATCTAAAATAAAATCAGAATGAAAATTCACTTTGAATGTTAAATAAGGACAAATGAAAAAAGTCCTAAAAGACTTGAAGGTGGCCGGGGAGAGGACGGTCTGGAGCTCCCTAGTTGGGATGCTGCCCCTGCGACCCGGACCCGGATAAGCGGAGGAAGACAACGACGATATCCAGATACATCAGTTCAGTTTATTACATTTTCTGAAATCACTTTGAAAACGATCACGTCCTCCTTTATAAGTAATGTTTACACACGTCTCAGTCCATCTAAAATCAAAACAAATGTCAAAATAAAAGCAGAACATTATAACACAGAAATATTACAATAAACCCTTCAACATGGTTCACAGATGCACAGAAAACATATCTGCACACCTCAAGGTTTTTTTATAAATGATTTGCTGCATCCCCCAGTGTTCTGTGCTGATTTCCCAAAAATTTACAGAAATAATATTTACAAATTCACACAAAACATTTTTACATATTTACATTATTTACAGTTACACAGTGTATAACTCATCGCTGTCACTGTCAGAGCTGTAGTCAGATGCAGTGTCCCGAAGCCAGAGTCTCTAAACAAATATTAACTTGGAGGATGTCAATATTTGTGCTGATTTTGCATTAAAGCTTTGGACATTTATTATAATATAAATATTTTTTGCATTTTCTTTGTTTGAATCCATTCTGTATTGTATGCATTTGATTTGTTTTAACTGCCCCCACACATGTGACTTCTTTTATGCATTTTACAGGCAAAGAACGGAGGACATAAAAAGATTAAGCTGCCCATTTCAAATGTTGCAGATAAGCCATGTGTGCAGGTGAAGAAACCAATACTGTACTCTCTTTGTCTCTCTCTCTCACTGTGTCTCATATTTTTACATTTTCATTTCCCTTTCTGCAGGTGTGGCAGTCAGATCCTCTAAAGAAGGGAAGAAGAATTCTGTGCATGGATTGTAAGAGCATAAATGACAAATTGTACTTGTTTGTCAGGTTCCACATGAAAGAACTTGTGACACTAAAAATAATCAACCTGCTGCTGTGTGTTTCTGCAGACATGCATAAGAGAAGGGGCCTCTATCTTGCAGCACTTTTGATAGTTGCTGTCCTCGCTGCATTACTTGGATTCTTCATCTATCGCACCACTAAAATTGGAGCTGCAGGTTATTACTGTTGTCTCACTGCACACACATTTCTGACAAACATGTACTCTGGACAATAATTGAGCATGCATTCCTTCATCGTCTCATCTCTTTGCACTCTGGTCCTTCCCTTTCACTCAGGTGTACTGATAATCCAGAAGCCGCTGTTGCTGGTGTGTTCATCGAGCCAGTCCACCCACATCTCCGCTGTGTGCACTTTGGCGTCAGTACTTCAGGGTGAGCTTGGCGCTACGGTGCACACATCTCTGTGGGCCAAAACCTCACAGAGGCAGGCGGGTAATGGAGCTGGCGTGGCAGATCTGGGCCCAATTCCGTGGCTGTATGGGAAGTGGGAGGCCGTGCGCAAAACAAGTGGGAAAATACTGATTGTTTGGAGTCCTGAAGCCAAAAAAACATATAAGAAGAGAAAACTGGAACTGGCCAACATGGATAAGCATGACAAGAAAAAAGTGGGCCTCACGAATGCAAATGAAAGAATGCGAGATGTGATGCTAGAGGATTTAAACTTGATTGGAAAAGGTTACAAAGAGAAATTGACAAATGTGGAATGTTTTGAAGATGAGGACAGGAGTATAGAGAAGGAGCTGTCTGCAGTCATAGAGCCTGTGTTTGTGGCTGCCCTGGCCTCTCTCGAAGGGGCGCTGCAAGACGGCAAAGGTAAAGAGGTCGCCTTGGTCTACTTCCAGGGTTTGTGCCACAGTAGGGACATCCCGAAGGCCTTCAGAGGTGTTCCTCACTACTGCTTACCACAAGACTTCAGTGACCTAATACAGGAGCTGGCAGAGATGAGAGGAGAGATGAGAGGTGGAGAGTTTAGGAGGAGTTGCTGGCACAGACTCCTCTCTAAAGTCATGTCAATGTGGCTGGCGCACCAGCTAACTCAGAGGCTGCAGACACTTTTTCCTCATTCGTAAGGCGACTGTCCCATCGTCAATAAAAATGACATCAACTTGCAGACGGAACTGGCTCACGTTGCAGATGGCTGGTGGGCCAAGGAGCAAACAGGAGTGAGAACTTCTGTAAGGGGGTTGCCATGGAGAACCGGGGGAAGCGTTGGTTTCACGTTTCACATACCAGACTCTTGTTCAGGTGGAAATGTGACTCTCAAGACTCAGGAGCTGGTGTGTCACGATGCCAAGCTCCTCTGGACTGCTGAAATTACTCGTTCCTTCTCTCCACGTGTTTTGCATTTCAAGAAGAGGTAAACACTCTGTCCTGGATCCTGCTACAACCTCAAACAACTGCAGCCATTATGCAGCGTTTCGTGATTGAAGCGAACACCTGTCTTATCTCTAAATATGCTAACCATTATGAAAATCTACTTGCAAATTATTACCTCACTTTCTTCGTGTACTCATTTGATGTTGTTGAATGCTGTGAAAGTACAAATGACTGTCAACACTGTTCGTTGAAATGCAGCTATTTGCATAAGATCCTCTAAACACACGTCGGACTTGTGCCAAGGTTGCCCCGGTAGGAGGGTAGCGTGTGAATAGTTGCTTGTGTGTTGAAAGTTTTCATATCGTGTGATAATAATTTGTTTTACCATATTATAATATAAGGTCTGTGTTGGCTGCAGACTAGTTACTGAGTATTTTACACATTTACTACCTCCTGTAAGTAAAAAGATACATACTGCATACCATTTTCTCATTTTTAATCAAAGTCATCTGAAAAGACCAGGAACAGACACAAGTCTTATTCAGATATTCCAACCCTCTCAGAAAATCTCCCTTATTTTCCCCTTCAGAGATTCATTCAAGGTTAACGTTAATCTTTATGCAAAGCAGCTCTAAACTGTAGACCTTGTCAGAATCTGACTGCAGATGTGATTACGCAGGATAATAAAATGCTTTGGATTCAAAAACTGAAATGATATTTTTATTCTCATGTTAAATGACCAAAAACTGGAGAAAACTACACATTTATTTTTCTGTATTTGCTTTTTTGCTTCTAAAATGTTTCAGATCATTAACAAATTTCAAAATCAGGCAATGATAACCTGAGTAAATACAGCTTTCTCATGACTGCCCTCCGTTTTCTTTTTCCTTTTAATCTTTATTCATCTGTGATGAATATTCTCTGATTAGAAAATTTCTTTGACAAGAATGTCCTGGCCTTTGTGAGAAGCAGCACAGTGCAAAGTGCAAAACATGCCAATGTATTTAGATTTGCAACAGTTTATTAAATTATTCACAACAAAATATAAAAATTCGTAGCAAAATAAACAAACTCCAGAAATTTAAATTGTACAGTTGGTGACTGAAACCTGAAGGTAGAAGAGATCCAACCTAACCTTCAGCTGCAGAACGTTCAGAACCCTTCAGAACGAGGGCGGATGTGTTGCTTTTTGAGATCTTTTGATCTACGTCATGTTGTTAGACAGGTTCTATTGAAGGGATTTCGTAATTTCATTGCTTAGTTCTGGGTGATAATATTGAAATTAAACTCTGCTTTTTCTTTTTTTATTATGTGGTTAGTCACAGTTAATTCATAATTTAATACCAGAGGCAATTACTTTTTCCACGTGTGTCCAGGTTGGTTTGTTGGCTTATTTTCAGAAATAAAAGAATTTATACTTCGAAAACTGTATTTTGTGATTAGTCAGAATAATTTTGTTTGGCTGATCTGAAACATAGTGACAAAACGTGCAATACTGAAAAACAATTGTAATTGTGGAAATACTATGTTGTATCTATGCTTATCAAGCCAAAGGAACATAAAAAACCCTGTATGATTTTTTCATTTGTATTTAGGAGTGCTCCAGAGCAGGTGTGCTTGTCTAGATAAGCTAAAACAACACAGGCCTTAACAGACCCGTTTGCTCAGTTGCGTGGTAATAATTAAATGTTGGCACAAAGCCAAAGTTATCAACCACAAATTCAATGGATAAAAATCAGTCGTATCTAGTGAACTAGTGTTTGCCAACCGTGGCCCTCAGGGCCTCAAAGTTTCCACGTTTTGAATGCTGGAGGAAAAGGAAAGACTGGCAGCTCAAGCTGCTCATAAGTCTAATTAACCATTTTACCCATATTTAATGTAGGCGTCTGAGAAATGTTCTCAACAATCTTCTAAACAATGAACTAAGGGTCAGAAGTTGAATTCTGTTTGTTATATAGGTTCCAACGTGGTTTGATCAAGTATGAAAAGAAACAAAGATAGTATTAGAATATATTAGACAGGTGAACTAACTAGATTGGTGGCTCAACTCACCATGAAAACATCAGTGTTTTTCTTGGTGGGTTCAAATGAATGGCGTTTACATCTTTATTCAGCTAAGGCATAGTGAGAAAGGTGGCAGTTACAGTGCAGAATGTGCAGCATATTAAACAATTATTCAAAGGCTGATGAATGCATGAAGGTTTTTAATTTTGATTTAAAAGTTACTAAAGTTGGGGCAAATTTGAGGTCATGAGGAAGCTGATTCCATCTGTGTGCAGCATAGTAGCTAAAAGTAGCTTCACCCTGTTTGGTTCTGACCCGTTCTACAAGCTGACTGTTTGCCAAGGATCTGAGAGCCCTGCTGGGTGTCTGTACCAAAAGGAGATCCAACATGTACTTTGGGCCCATTCCACTGTGAGATTTATAAACTAGTAGTTCACCGGTAAGCAGTGTAAAGATTTAAGAATAGGAAGTGATGCGCTCTGTTCTTTTGATTCTTGTTAAGCCTCTAGCAGCAGCATTCTGAAAAAGCTGACTTTGTTTAACAGCTGTTTTGGGAAGACCAGTTAGAAGACCTGCTGGAGATGAATGCAAGAATGAGTTTTTCTAGGTCTTATTTTGACATGAGACCTCTGAGTCGTGCTAATTGATGGAGATGATTAAACACTGATCTAATTATAGCTTTAATGTGACCAGTGAATCTCAGGTCTGAATCATTGGTAACACCAAGATTTCTAACCTGAGTCTTTATCCTTATTCCTTTGGAGCTAAGTTGAGAGATAGCTTCCATCCTATTCTTCTTATTTCCCAAGACAATAACTTCAGTCATGTCTTTGTTTAACTGAAGGAAACTTGATTGCATCCAGTCATGAACTTGCTCAAGATTCGTTAGGCGATAGAGCTAGGTAGATCTGGGTGTCATCTGCATAACTATGATAGGTGATGTTGATATTGTTTATGACCTGGCCATATATCAGCTATGTAACTTTTTTTAAACTATTGATTATTCAGGGAAATCTTTCACAACAGCCTCGAAGTGGAGACTCAGAATAGACATGTACAGAGTTAAGAGTGTATTTTAAATTTCAGAAATGTGTTTTCTAATGAGACTGTGTGGAAACAGGTTTGAGCAGAGGGTCTGCAGTCAGACCTACAAGACCAGGGTTTGGTTTGTTTTGAGGAGGAGGGACACCCCAAACCCACCTTTCTTGACACGCCTGTCTTCTGTAACTGACATCCTTTATCATATGGTAAGCATAAAGCTAGAGAATCTTTAAAGAGGTCCTTCACTGAGAAACCCTTTTATTACTATTTTTGAGAGTAATCAGTCACTCTTAACATGCAGGTTGAACAGGAAAATGGACACCTTTCTCCTGCATCAGCTTCTGATAGAAAACAGACAATGAAACTCTAGGCTTCCAAAATCCTGACGTATATATGTCACACTGTCACTTAATATTCATGGACTCTTTTTTTTAATTTTTTGTTTATCCCCCCCCCCCCCCCCCCCCCCCACCCCCACCCCCCGCTGCAAAGCAAACAGAATTAATGTCTGAATGCTGGTAACAAGCCTTACAGATTCACTCTCAGGTGGAGCATCAAATCTTCTGCTTTAATGTCACGCCTGATACTTAAAACTTTATTGTTATTGTTTTTTGAATGCTTTGTAATTCCGACCAGACACGGAGACAGAGGTGAAAGAGGAAGGAAGAGACAAAAGGTGGTGGGGGGTTTCCACAAAAATAAACAATCAATGATGAACAAGAGTCTGCTTCTAGACCTGCAGAAAAGGGACACACAACAATACAACAAGAGCAAGCTATCACTGCTTCAACTTGATGAAGAAATATAAAATCAGCATTGTTTTACTGAACAATCACATGATAATAAATCGCAGTGCATTTAGTGCCAACCACAGCCTTAAGACATGTGTTGAGCGTGCCCAAGTCCATACTTATGAGAGCACCATGTGAGCACCTGTGTGCATACATGTGCTTATATATGTAAGGTTTCTCTATAGGAGCGTCCAATAGAGAGTGTGAGGGGCCACTGATCTGCCCCCAAAGATGTGCAGGAGACGGAGGGAGCTCCAAGTCTCAGAGATCCAGGAGCTGCCCCAGAGCACAGGGACCCCAAGGAGACCGCAACCAGAAAAGCCCCAGCCCCCCTTGAGAGGTGCAGAGGATCGCCCCGGGGGGCCACAACCAGCAGCCGGCAGAGTCCCGAGAGATATCGGCGGCAAGCCCACAGGCCCGCCCGCAGCCTCCCACCCTCTAGCCGGCCGAGCCCGGGACCCAGCAACCCGAGACCCAGCAGCGACCACCCCTGCCGGGGGCCCAGCAGAGCCCAGGGACCCAGATCCGACCAGACAGCCACCGGGATTGATCAGGCAGACGCCAAAAATCTTAAACCCCCTGACCCGGGAGCCACGAACACTCAGGCAGACCAAGGCACCGCACTCCACACCAAGTGTGGCAGGGGGAGGGGAGACGAAGATGCATAGCATCAAAAGAAGTCCCAGGAGAAGGGACAAGTCAAAGGCCCCACCTGACATATACAGTCATACACAGACACAGTCACACACTCCCTCCCTCATGCTCACACATATACATACAACCAAAGACTTACAAAAATGCCTGCCAGACACACCCAATCATGCTCCCCATACACAGCCTATTCACTCTGGTCCCGGTACTGCTGCACATGGGGTACAACCATCACCGGTTCTCAGAGTTCGACCCTTTCTGCTGGGGTGCTGATGAGCAGGCTCCCCCGCCCAACGCTGAGCAAAGCAGCCCATCACCCCAGACCCCAACCAGACGGCCAGCTCCCCCTCCTAGCCTCCAGCCCCAGAAAGCCAAGCAACAACATTAACAACATATTCATGGACTCTTGACGAAGAAGGCTGTTGTTGAATTGGCGTCCAGGAAACAGCAGAGAACGTCTTGGCTAACAGAAGCTAACTGTTAGCATTTGCAACTCCACCACTCAGCAGAACTCCTCCAAGCTTGTGTTATTTGTGGAGATCATAAACATCAACGTTGCAGAGCAAACAGAGTCAGTGGTAGAGTCGTGTTGCTGTTATCCAATCAGAGGAGAGATGTCCAAATATCAGGAAATAAGACTCCAAATCCTGTCGTCTGAAGCTGCTTTCTCCTCTGGGTGAGTTCTCTGTGATGAAACAGGTGCATCAGAGCTTTTGTTCCCCAGAGAACAACTTACGAGGCATTTATTCCTACTATAGGCCTCTGCAAATGTATTAAAAATAACAACCCCAGGACTATGGTTTGCTCCTTTTCACTTCGATGGAGATGGAGGGTGGAAGTAGACACAGAATATTGGATTGAGACAGATAATGACGTTGGGGTAAAAAGCCCAAGGCACAAGCTGTTGTCATGGGAGGAGGGGTGGGAACATTTGCTGCAAACAAAACACAAGCTTTGTTTCTAGGTAATATTTGTTGCTTATTTAGCCTTCTCATTATTAGTTATAACATTTTGATTGTAAAGTTGTTTTTTTATCTGTTACTGAAATAAAATTTTACTTGAATGTTGGTGACTGTGTTAGTTTCATTTGAAATATCCAAAATATCTTTTTCTATAAATGCGGTCAGAGAAACTTCTAGTCTTTCTGTTTGATCGATCCCTCTACATGACCAACAAAGGCAGAATTTTTGGCTGTTATTTATGTTTACAATCTGGCCTGAAGCTGTTTTTTTAACTGATCCACCCACTTATCACAAAACTGGTTCTGCTGCTCAATAGTTCCTACTCACACACCTGAGCAACACAGCAGTGACCGTGCACGTATCCTAAGGTGCCAGTCACCTGGATGTGGGTGTGGTGAGGAGAGAGGTGAGGAGAGGACTCTGACAGTCCACATGTGGGGATCCAACAGGAACAAGGACCCTGCTACCTTTGAGGGGACTCCCACTGAAACGCTCCTGGTTAGTCGCAGAGAACCTGGAGGATTAACATTTTGAAACATGGTGCTTTTGTCTGATCTGGGACCAGTTTTTGTGTCTGTGCTGCTTTGGTCCTGTTTGTTTTTGTCTGCAGCTGTGCTGAAAACCATCAAGAAGGACACAGCTGAGCTCACCTGCAGTCAGGTAATCCTAGACAACTTCTAATGTTGACAGAGAATCGTTATTGGAACACCTTTAAACAAACACACAGAAAACTGGTTTCAACTGTGGCTCCTCTGTGTGTTTTTTAGTAGAAATCCGGGAAAATATGTTGAAGTTTCACTTTGGGGGATTTAGTTTATCACACACACACACACACACACACACACACACACACACACACACACACACACACACACACACACACACACACACACACACACACACAGATCAAAGTTTAATAATGTTCATTACTTATTTAGTCTTTGCCAGAGCCAGACACATTACCTTGCTGCTCCTCTTCTCAGGAAGTCGGTTTCCAAAGAAAATAACAGTGTAGTTATAACTGCTCTTTCTGATGATTCATCCAGTTCCAGGAAGTTTCTTTTAATAAAACAAAGTCCGTTATACCTCAACGTTTAGAGGGGAAAAAAATCTAAAAATCTAATGACAATCATTTTCACATTCAGGCCTTTTTAAAGAGAAACCAAGAGAAGATAAAACCTGCAAAACAATAACAAGCTTTATTTGTTTTATAAAATTCTGCCCAAATAAAGTTAAAATTTTTATAGTTCAGAATTGTGTTTAGTAAAGAGGGGTAAACATGTGTTGGCATGATGATTTAATATGGATTTGTCATCTTCTTGGATGTTATTAAGATGGATCATTATCATTATTAATATAAGGACAGGTTGTCATGCAAATAAAAAAATGCTTGTTCACAACAATCGAAAATAAATGAAAGAAAATATGATTTTGTGATATTTTGAAAGAAATACCTCTAAATTTTTACTTTTTCTAATTTTACTGGCATGCTACATTTTATTTTATTTTATTTTTTACAAAAAAAGTTTTTTAATTTCCAATAATAACTTTGTCTGCCTCAGAGGACAGATTTTCTGGGATTTGCATTTTTCGTTCTGAACTGAAACATAAATGTGCCTCATTTAACTAAAACAATACATAGATTTTAATTTCTTTCTTAAAAAATGTAAACGCACAATGTTTATTTTTAAAGCAGTTTTTCATTTCATTCATTTTCACCTAAAAAGAAATCGATATACCATGAGCAGTTTATTGGAGAGTGAGATTAATCGATATAAAATAATCATTTAAACCTGAACTACTTCAGTTTCATATTCCATGCTGTCTTTTTTCACAGGAAATCCATTATTAATGTTACATCATAATTTTTCTCCTCTAACAAGTCAAACAATTTTCTACAAATACATGTTTTTTAGATCAAATTTGTTGTAGTGAAACAGTTTAAGGCAACATGGTGAACTGAAACCACGTCTCATTTCACGTTTAGGAGTGGAGTACCCTTCAATAGTATCACATTAACACTTGTTTTTTTTCTATAAGGAGCCAAACAGCTTTGTTAGGAACCATAAGATGTGAAACTTTGTTTAAAAAAAGATTCCAGAATTGTTTGTATGAACTTAATATAAATCAGATCATTTTTCTTTATGATTCCAGTTTTTTGGCTCTAAAATCAAACAATAAAAGACTTAAAATCCTGCTATTGTTTGATGAACAACAACATATTCCTATTTGTGGTCCTTTGAGGTGTGTTTTACCTGCATGTTGTTTATCTTTCAGGGTTTAACAAACTGCAATGTGAGCTCAGGTAACATGATCGGTGTTGTATGCATGCGTGTGACACACAATAACGTTGACTGTCTGCAGTTTTATATAAGCCAGAAACTCTTTGTTTTCACAGATTATCAGTTCAGCAATAATCTCGCTGAACCGTATGGCTCAGTGGACGTTACGCAGGTGCAGCTCACTGCTGCTCTTTGCCTCTCAGCCTCCATAAATGAATATGAACTCTGTCTGCAAGTCATCATCAGTCTCCAAGGTACTCTTAGAGTCGTTCACTTTTAGGAGGAGCTATTTCCTGCATCTTGTCAGATCTTTTATCAACTCTGTTTTCTCAGCTTAAATAATTACTGACTCCAGTTTAACCGTGCATGTTTATTGCAGAAGATGTTCCTCCTGAAGGGTCAGCTGAGGATGACGATGAGGAAGAAGGTATGAGAACAAATGGTCAGCAGTTTGTTTACCCCTAATGGAAACTGGGTTGCTTTAAAGGTGTGAAACACAAAAAACAAAACAAATTTTAATGATCATTTCTCATTATAAATGGTCACTCTGAGTTTTTCATGCAGGCTGAACATGAAAATAATCTCCTACATTAGCTTCTGATTGAAAATAGACTATGAAAGGCCTGACGGCGTGACATCACATTGTTGCCTAACATTCATAGGCTACGTTCACACTGCAGGCAAAAGTGCATCAAATCCACTTTTTTCCCCACGTGCGACCCATGTCTGATTTTTTTATGACAGTCTGAATGGCACAGATCCGATTTTTTCAAATGTGATTCGTGTTCCTTGAGTATGTGGTGCTGATTCCGACACATATCTGGGGCCTCATTTATCAAGCTTGCTTACGCACAAAACGGGGCTGGAAAACTGCGTAAGTAACTTTCCATGCAAACTTTGGGATTTTTGAAAGAAAACGTAGCAGAAAAATGTGTGCAACTTTAAGTTGACTAAGGACCTTGCTTACACACATTTTGGGCATGGAGAGCACCTGCAGTGGTGAACATTCCAATCACCCCCACAGATCACTATCCCTGAAGCCTCAGCGCACAGTAGATTAAAGATATTTTTAATAAAGTTCTTGTCAGCTCCTGGTGGTCTGTAAAAATTCAACAAGGTAACTTCTGTATGATCTAAAATAACTTTTACCAGGATATATCTGCCTTCAGAATCTTTAAGTTCAGAGTGGAGATGGAAATTAATACTGTTAGAGAGTAAGATTGCTACTCCTCTAGGTTTTTTTCCCTTGACATGAGGAGAAATTAGGATGTCTAAATCCCTTATTTTTTAATTTTTCGTGTTCTCCATTTGATAAATGAGTTTCTTGCCTGAATATTATTTGCTGTTTTTCTCTTTTTATTTTAGTTATGATCTCACTACGTTTTGTAGGATTGTGTAGTCCATTTATGTTGAGTGAAATACATCCATAAATCTGCATTAAGCTTACCTTCCGGGAATGGTATTATTTGTCTTCTGTGGTGTCCAGGACAGCACAGCGGGAGAGTGAAGGTAGAGACGGGGGGAGGCAGGTGTGGCGGGGTCGTAGAGAAGAAAGAGAGGGGGGGATACATGAACTTTTTACAGACAAGCTGGCCTCCAAAAGCGAAAAGAACACTTCCATGAGTGAGGGAACAGTCCCAAATCGATCTGGGGGAGGGAGCCCTCAGGATGCAAACCTAAAGTCCGAACGATAGAAAAAACGGTGACTTATCCATGAAGCGGAACGTCCAAGAGAGGGTTTCAACTTAGAAATGTCTTATGCATCATAACAAGAGGAAACATTGACAATTATGTTAATTGGTGACGCAGCATTTATGTTAGTTTAAGGATTGGACTTGTCACGCCGAAATTCTTTGACTCTTTCTTTAATATGGTCCATTTTTGTCATTTTTTCTGGTTGTGACGTGTTCTTCTTTTCCCATCGCGGGTTGTTTCCAGGCTCACGGGGGGGTGTTTTGGGAGCTGATCGGATGGATTCCAGTATCCCTCTTCTTTCCATGTCTGCTGTAGCATTGTGGATGTCCTTGTAGGTTACTGGGCCTGATGCATAGTAGACCCGCAGATGCGCCGGGTAGAGGATCTGGTTATGCATGTCTTCTTCCTTCAGCCCTCTCCGAATGGAGGCATATGCCTTCCTCTTCGCCAGCACCTCTGTTGTATAGTCTTGTTCAAAAAGATTCTTTTCCCGTTGTGCTCGATCTCTTTTTTCCCCATGCTGTGCGTAGTATCTTTTTTTTTTAGTTTTATACTCCAGAAAGCAAACGATAATGGATCTTGGGTTGCCTCTGGGGGGAGGTTGTGGTCCCAGGGATCGGTGACATTGCTGTAAGTGTGTATCTGACAGTCCCAGCGCTGTTTTTATGAAGGAGTCGATAAAGGCAGAGATGTTTGTTCCTTCTGCCCCCTCCGGCACGCAATATATCCGAATATTGTTTCTGCGTGACCTCGCCTCTAGGTCTGAGATTTTAATCTGGAGTTGTTCTTGGGTGTCTAATGCTTGAGTGAGGATTTCGTGGACATCCACACAAAATTCCTCTGTTTCGGTTATTCTCGTCTCGGCCACCTCCACTCTTTGAGACATTTCCTTTAAGTCGCTTGACATCATGTTTAGTTTTCCATTCATTTCTTCCTTAAGTTCTGTTAGCTCTTTCTTCAGTAACCCTGATGCGGCGCTGACTTCTTTTTGGATGTCTGCCCGTATTTCTTTGACTTCAGCAATAATGCTAGCTCTAATAGCATCCGTACTCTCAGATTCGGTTAGCTTACTGTCGTTAGCCGTGTCTGGTTCACCTTTTTCCGATGGAAAGGCTTGTTTATGCATCTTGTTTTGCGTGTTTCCTCTTGCCTTTCTTTTAGCTCCCCCTTCCATACTATGGTTTGTCCATCCAAAATGGTAATTGTTGGGGAGTGTTGAACCCTGCTCGGAGCCAAAGGATTACACAGCCTCTTGCCTCTCCGCCATACCAGAAGTCCCATTTTAACTATATTTTTAACCATTTTCTAAATTCTTTTTCATATTTTCACATTTTTTGTTTTTGTGAAGCGCCTCGTGACTTTTATCTTGAGAGGCGCTATAGAAATGATATTTTCTTCTTCTTCTTCTTCTTCTTCTTCTTCTTCTTCTTCTTCTTCTTGGCTACTTGGTCAATGGAGATCTTTCTTTGGTTGACTGGTTAGCGCATGTGACTTTCACCCAGGAGTCTGGGGATCAAATCCCGATTGGACCTTTTTTTTATATATATCCACCACAGATCTCTCTGAAGAACTCAGCATTGACGGCTTCAGCAACGCTGTGCCACTCAGTGGATTTTCTCTTATTTGTTTTGCAAAAGCACTTCCTTTCATTTCTCCACCTCACCCACAAGTACCTCAATTTCTGATTCTGTGAAATTGTGCTGCCTTGATCTGCCTTGATCTACGGTCGCCATGTCATTGGCGGAGCGCTGCAACAGCCGACTTATGTATATGCATGAGATCCACAAGGCACTTTGCATTGACTATTTATGGCAGTAAGTGGGCATGGTGAGGGTGGGATGTGACTAAAAAGCAGCTGAGAACCATTCTCGTTAGTCTCCGATTTATGAAGCTGAGATTGCGTGCAGCTGTACGTACTCCATGTTTGATAGATCACAAACCCACTTGGCGTAAGTACATTTTTTTGCTGAGCTTAAGAATGGTTTTAGTAAGGATTCTACGCAATGTTTGATAAATGAGACCCCTGATGTTTTTGAAAGCGACTGCAGTCTGAATGGTCATGTTGCATTATATTTGTCTCCCACGCCACTGAGTCAGCGGAGGTGATCCTCGTGTGTAGACGTTCCTGAGGAGAAGCGCTGACAGAAGAGTTCAGGATTCTGTCTGGACATCCTGTTTTGTATTTTGGAATTAAAAATACAGGAGAGCATGCAGGAGGTTGCTCCATCTCCATGAAGGGAGTGGGTCTCCATCAATGAATTAATACCGGAACATTTTCGGTTAATAATAATTCAGGAAGACAGTGGGAACAAGGAGTTAAACAGTTTACAGTTTTTAAAACAGTTTCCTGTGGATAAACGGTCAGTGAAGGCATTCACATCACAACTCGAGTGTGACTTATTTTCTTCTGCGCATGCGGTCGTGAAGCGTGCACGCTGGAGAGAGTTTGATGTTGTATTTCAGTCATAGTGTGAACAGCCACACAAAAGAAAGATCTGATTTGCTCAAAAAATCAGAATTGAGCTTCAAGGCGTGCAGTGTGAACGTAGCCTTAGCCCATCTCTGCTCACGATGAGGAAGACTGTTGTTGGTTTAACATTCAGGAAACAACAGAGAATGTCTCGGCTAGTAGAAGCTAAACAAGTCCACCACACTGCAGAACTCCACGCTCATGTTATTTGTGGAGATAAAATATCAATGTTTGCAAGTGATTGGTAGAGTTGTGTTGATGTTATCCAATCAGAGGTGAGATGCCCAAATATCAGGAAAAAATATAATCCTGTCGTCTGAAACTCTCCTCTGATCTGGCATTCTGCTAGTTCCTGATACTGACGCACCGGAAGTTTTTTCCTCAAGAGTATGAATTACAAGACATTAATTCCTGAAGAGACCACTGCAAATGAATTGATTAAAGTGCTCCACACGCCTGAGTTTACCTTCACTTTCCTCTGTGATTTCAGCTCTTATAAAAGTGGGTCTCTTCGTTCCGGGTTCCACGGGGATCTGGAAGGCACTGACCTTCAACCGGAGCTACACTGGTTCAGGGCAACATTCCAAACATTCCCATTATGAGGTAATCCTGGCTACATGGAAAGATATGACCTCATTTACTGTCAGAGAAAAATACATCCTTCTTGATCTCTGAAGTTTAGCAGGAAATAATAACTAAATATTATTATCAGAGCAGAATGTTGGGCAAATAAAATCTCTCATAGAAGAATGATCTAGAGTTAATATTTATTTAACAAAAACAGAGCCAAAATGCATAAAAATGCTTTCACTAAATAATTGTGTGTGTGTGTGTGTGTGTGTGTGTGTGTGTGTGTGTGTGTGTGTGTGTGTGTGTGTGTGTGTGTGTGTGTGTGTGTGTGTGTGTGTGTGTGTGTGTGTGTGTGTGTGTGTGTGTGTGAAAATGTCACCCATGCGAAGCCACATGGGTTAATGAATTTTTTTTTAACTATTTAAGGATGAGCAGTTTTACCTCAAGTTCAGATTAAATCAGATTCTAAAAGCATCAATAAGCAAAGTTAAAGGTGTGGAACACTGAAATTTTTTCAATGATTATTTTCTGATTATAATCTGTCACTGTGCCGGCTGAACATGAAAATAGTCTCCTGCAAATGTCTCCTGTATTAGTTCTAAATGAAGCGAAGACTCTTCTTGGTTCAGCGTCCATGAAACAGCAGAAAACATCTCGGCTGATAGAAGCTAATCGTTAGCATTAGCAACTCCACCACACAGCATCGTCCTGGCTTATGTAATTTGTGGAGATAAAACATCTATGTTGCAAAGTAAACAGTCAGTAGTAGAGCCATATTTCTGTTAGCCAATCAGAGGTGAGATGCCCAAATATCAGGAAATAAGACTCCAAATCCTGTCATCTGAAGCTCTACTCTAATCTGGTAGTCTTCTAGATCCTGAAACAGGCGCACCAGGGCTTTTTGTACCCTGAGTACGACTTACAAGGCATTTATTCCTACCAGAGACTATTACAAATGTATTGATGAAATGAGTTAGGGTTAGGGTGATGATGACGGTTACAAAGAAGAAAGTATTCTGTCAGGTAAGAAAAACATAGTGATTCTAAGGTTGTCAACATCAAATTAAAACCACAAAATGTCTGGAACTTTGTTCTCTGAGATAGGTATGATCAAAGTAAGGTATTAAATTATTATAATGAAGCTAAAACACACCATTGGGCAATAAATGGGATCATGGGTGGTTAGTAATGTATTCTGGAGTTAAATGTTAGACTCTGTTTAACCGGCTGGAATTGGGTCATGCATCAGGACAATGACACCAATCACAGCAGCAGAGATAAAGCAGAACATCAAAAAAAATTTACTTGTAAAGATCAGATCTCAGTCTGACTGAAAGAACTGTAGCAGAACTGGAGGACATTCTTTCTGACAAAGCTTAAAGTTCAGCAATGTGGTGAAACAGCTGGGCTGAAATAACCTAACAATGATCAACAATGATCGTGCTGAAAACAAGAGGCATTTTCTGTCCTAGCTCCAACACGAGCTCCCACTTGTTGTCAAACAGTCCCCATCACTGCAGGTCTTTAAGTCATTTGAAGACTTATTTTTGTCGTTTGGCTTTTATGTAATAGGGATTTTTAGAATTTCAGTCTTTTATCATATCTGTTTTGTTATTTTAGTCAGTCTCTTTGCTCTTTTGTTGTGTTTATGTTATGTTCAGCGCCTTGGGCTTCTATAAAGGCAGTTGAAGGCGCTATACAAATAAAATTTGATTGACTGACTGATTGATTGATCTGAGAGGCTAATGCTTTTCACACACACACACACACACACACACAACCTCAGAAAATGACGGCCCTATGAATGAGACATCTGAGTTTCCTTGTTCTCTCCTGTTAATCACACTTAGCTGCTTCGACAGAATGGATGTAGCTCATTTGTTGTCTTTGAAAGCAGATATGACAATGACTTAGTCATTTTATTATACGTCCACCTCATTCTGTGAAGTTTCCTTGTACTTTTTCCTAGTCATGTGGATCAACTGATACTGAATGTTGCAAGTCCAATCTTGTCAGTAGACGAGAGCATGGCGTCTGCATGCAGAGTCAGACCAACAGTATTAACCATTAAATCATGTTTACCAGACATGTTAAAAGCAAAGTAGCATCTTCATTCTGCCCTCTGGTGGATGCAAACTGTACTTATAGGAACCTCCTGTACAATGATGTGTTTGGATTTCACATTGATGCAACTAAACAATCAGTATCAAATAGAAATACAGAGCATGCATATATACCACCAGTGTTTTGATTCTAAATGTCTTTCTACAGCCCTAAATGTCACCAACATGTCAAGTGGTATGTTTATTTTTTAACTAATCAGCAGAAAGTTCTGATGAGTTGTATCTTGATTAGATTTTCAAAAGCCTTATTATCTTCTGGATCATCCAGATGGCTATGGCAGACTAAACAGGGCAGAACATGTGCTGGCTGAAGCATGGAGACCTTTCCAATGCTGCAGGATATTAATTCATGACATTGTAGTGTGTTACTAGATGACTGTTGCATTCACATCTGGGCTGGCCTAGTCTAGACCTGGTAGGTTAATTGGGTTCATATCTGAGTAATCTGTGCATTTTCCATGCTCAGCTGACCATTTATTCTGACTTGCTCCTTGGCGGTCAGCTTGATGCAGAGTCAATTTTTTATTTCATTTTGTCTCACATTTGTTGCATGTGTTCGTATGATTTTATATATATATATATATATATATATATATATATATATATATATATATATATATATATATATATATATATATATATATATATATATATGTATATGGATGGATGGATGGATGGATGGATGGATGGATGGATGGATGGATGGATGGATAGATAGATAGATAGATAGATAGATAGATAGATAGATAGATAGATAGATAGATAGATAGATAGATAGATAGATAGATAGATAGATAGATAGATAGATAGATAGATAGATAGATAGATAGATAGAGAGATAGAGATGTCTGTCTGTCTGTCTGTCTGTCTAGATGACAGAAAATTGTCACAGGGTCTAATTAGAAGCATGGACTTGACTCAGAAAAACACCAAACGTCATGTCAACGCTGCCTTTTATTAACATCAATGTTTTGTGATTTTCTCATCCAGATCATGTGATTTCACTGACTGTTAACCTTTTCCCCACAGGTAGTGTTGTTGGTAAAAGGAAGTATATTGGAATTTGGCACACCACTCGTTGTGCACACAATTCTAAAGAGCTATCGCATTCAAAACATTACAATACCAGATTATAAAGAAGGTGAGTTGAAGGGTTTGAATCTGAGGCAAATCAGATGACAGTTGAATTGTGTCAATAAGCATTAATTCATTTCTCGTCTTTTCAGTTTGCAAATCAGAATCAGGGGGGACCATAACAAAATGTGTTGGTAAGTTGTTAAAGTTTTTGCAGCATGTGTGTTTTTGTTTATCATCATACTTTCTACGTTTAACTAAAATGCTGTCTGCAATAATATCTGTATGTTAAAAGTCTCCTCGTTTTCTCCTTTAACCTTTCTTTCTGCTCTGGCACATGAGGAATTATTTTTAAAATGATTAATTGTAACTCGTCTGTTTTAGTTCCCTATCTCCGTGCTGTGATTGAACATGAGAACAAAGTCTGGCTGAAAATAGAAAACGTCAAACATCAGAAAGGCTCCTGTCTGGTGGATTGGGATGGAATATCTGGAGAGCATTACACATGGGTCAGTCACTGCTTTACTATCCTGGCAAGCATCCACACAGCATGGAGTTACAGTCAGATTATTGGTTTTACATTCTGTTCACATTACACATCAGTTGTTGTTATAAACAAGAACTTAACTGGTTGGTTTTGCATGGGCTCAACTGTTATTTTATCATTTTGATGATGGAGCTTTGGGAAGGCCATTTTGAAAGTTTTCTTTATTTAAATAGAACCAGATGTGATATGTGTGTGTTTGCGTGCAAAAGCTATCTTGTTTGCAGATTTTTTACAACAGTTTGTAATGTTTGTGCAGGCCGAAGGAGAAAGTGAAATCAACATTTCACAAGTTTTTGTGGCACCGTGCTTATGCTTCCAGGTAACTGACAAAACGACTTACAAGAAAAAAGACTTTTAAAAGATTTATTTCTAATACAAAATGCTTTTGTGCAGGCTTGGTGGGATGGAGAAGACAAGAGAGGAAGATACTGTCCTTTCAAACATCACAAAGGTAAAAGGAAATCCGTGACGCTATTGTAGATGTATGTTGAGCTTGTTTGCTTAACAATTAGAACATATTGTTTTTCTGTTATTATCATTTCTCTTTTGCAGACGCCTTTGAAAAAATGCAGCACAACGTGTCAGTGACACTGGCAGAGCCTGGGATGAGGAAGAACGGGAATGTGCTCACCTGGAATGTAACTTCTGTCTGCATGCTGCAGGGAGAGGTGCGTCTGTGCAAGAAGGACGGTACAGGAGCCCAGTGTGAGGAGGTGATGGGCTCCACACAGAAACTGGGAAACAGCTGGACAAAGTCAAGCAGCAGACACTGGGTAACTGGAGCATCTTTGATGCTAAGAGTCAAACCTTAAGGGATGTTTTTGGTTTAATTTTGTTAACCTGAGCTCTTTATTCTCATGATGACGATGAAAAAAAGCGGCTTAAATATGTTTGGATCTGATCCAGTTTCAGAAGAGCGTGTGTTTCTTTCAATATAATTTTTAAAATATGTAAAAATATGATGAACACATTTATAGTGATCACCCCTTAGGTGCCATTATTTGATCATCATTAACATTGGATCTTTTTTTTTTTATTTAATTATTTAAATTTTAGCAAGCAGGAGAGTTCAGTGTGTCGAAGCATCACCTGCTTTGTGTGCAGGTAACATTCATTAGTTATCTAAAACAAGTATAATGAGATTCTGCTTTCCACACAGACTGAACTAACAAACTCTTGTAAACACCTTTAGTTCAAAATAAATGGGATGGAGTCGTTCTCAGAGCCACAGTGTCCTTTTACAGGTAAGATTTATTCTTGTTTTCTGCAAAACTAAATCCAACTAAAACTATTTAATGTTTCTTATCTTAAGAATGGAAGTATTTGATGTATACTTTAATGTATATGTATATTTTAATGATGTTATTTCCATAGAAACATAATAAAAGCTTCATATTTAGTTTTTCCAGCATCTCGAGTGAGATGGATCCTGCCACTTCTCATCGGATTAATGCTGATATGTTTGGCCATACTTGGAGCCTATTTAGTACAAGGTGTCCTAAAAGGTGAGCCTCTCCTTTGATCTTTCTAAACTTTCTCTATTAAAGCATCTTATTGCAAATTCTGCTTTTCTCTCCAGGCTACGTTTGGAAGTGGTTGAAAGAAGATGATGTAAAAGGTACAATTCTGTGGACACAGTTCATTATTTAGTTCATTCATCAGTAGAAAAGTACAAATGTCTACTTGTTTCTCATTTTTGTTTATCTGTTGGTGGAAGTTTGCATTTTGTTGTGCGTTGTTTTGGGTTTTTCTTAAGAAAGTAAAATAAAATGTTCTTGTTCTGAATCAGTCCCTTGAGTCAGATATGAAGGTATTTTATTTTGTTTATTAAAGTTTTTCTTGTAGATAGTTTTAGATCCAACAATATGCAGGTAAACGTTTTTCATTAAGTTGAAAAACTTAAGCAGATTTATGTGACTGAGTCAGCAGAAAGCCTCAAGAAAAATCCATCAGTTTTGAAAATGACATATTTGACATTTTACAGAGTCCTGGACGGCGTGGAAAGTGTAACACATAAAAAACATATTGTTCTTCTTGTTGTTGTTGACAGCTGAAACAAAGCTTTCTTAAAATTGTATTTGTTTTATCTTTTGTGTCATCACAACCCCGTTCCCTGCTGTGGTGTGGCTGATGTTTTGATCACAGAAGCCATAATTGAATATTTTGTTGTGTGCAGGTGCTGTGGGTGGAGGCCATGTGGTCCTGCTGTACCCGTCTGATGATGACAGGCATCTTCCAGGCATGCTGTGTCACCTGGGCTCATCTCTTCAGGCCCTGGGCTTCACTGTGTCGCTGGACCTCTGGAGCCAGACTGAGCTAAGTGCCTTGGGCCCTGTGCCATGGCTCCATTCCCGACTGGACCAGCTGCAAAGACAGGGGGGTAAAGTGGTGTTAGTCCTAACCAAGGCCACCTGGACCCGGGCTGAAGAGTGGGGAGCCCTCAGCAATGACGGGGTGGTGAACAGAGATGCGGGGGAAGTGTTAGGAAGAAGCTACCCTCCATCTTCACGCCGAGTGGATGTTTTCGGAGCTTCGCTGAGCTGCATTCTTGCAGACTATTTACAGGGCCGGGCTGGTGAGAGGTTCATGCTGGTGCAGTTTGAATCCCTCCCCCCTGAACCACCAGATGGTTTCCGTCCACTCCCGTGTCTTTTTTGTGGACTTCACGTTTACAGTCTTCCATCCCAGAGTCTGGGCTTTCTGACTGAACTTGCTGGCACCAAGCATATTGCTTCGGCATCAGCCAGACGGAAAAGGGCGGGGGGGCTCAGAAAGGCATCTCGAGCCCTGGCGCAGAAGCTGTCAGGGTTCACTGCAGGGACAAATGTCTTCAGACTGGCTGGTGTGTCTCAGGGTTGTGTTGGTGGGGAAGTGGAAGACTCAGGGGAAACTGTGCCTCTGCAACCAGATCTTACACCCCTATCCAGCCCAGAGACAGAGTCCAGGGCTGGTCTGATGGAACCGGTCTGACAGCTATGGTGGCAAAGATTCAGCTATGGGACGAGCTGCTCATGGTGTCAAGAGTACTTCAAACTCATACTACAGTAAGTCATGTTCTTCCAGTTCAGTTTTGCCATTTGCAAGTCATAAGAAACTGTGAAAATATGGAAAATGCAGGTTGGCAGAAAATCTTTTTTATTGACAAAAATGAGACCTATATGGCTGAAAAGAATATATAGCATTTTGCCCTGAAACGTGGCGAAAAGACGCAGGATGTTAGAGGAGATCATTTACGAAGAAAAACTTAAAAATGCAAAGGAAGCATCTCGGTGAGGTAAACCGATGCTCATCTTGGCTGTTTCCGGCCACGCGGCTGGGTGTTTGTGTTTTTGCTACTTTATTTGTGTCTAATATTTAGTTGCAGATATAACTTAAGAGGAGTGTGTGGAAAAAATATAACCACTATGTTTTGTATATACTTATACAATTCTGTAAAATATGTAATATGTTTAGCTGTTTATCCATGAAAGGGTTGTTGGTCTTATGGTTTGTTTAAAGGGAAGGAATAAAGCATTTATGTGCTTGCTTGACAAATTAATTCTTGCTCATATTTTTGCAAAAACACTATTTCTAATTTTCGGTTTTAGAATGGGGCTTTGATGAGCACTTTCAATGTTTGAAAATGTGTGTAATTGTTTGTTTTATAAATGCCTTGTTATTAAAAAATAATACAAGCGTTTGTTTGCAGCATTCAGTTAAAACATGCACAACAAATAGAAACCCAAGCTAATTCCAAAAATCTTTGCAGCATTACAGGTTTCCAGCATACTTGTGCATGATTAAGAATGCAAAGTAACCTAAAAGGAGGGAAAAATACATAAACAAAAAATGAATAAACCTATTAAAGCAGCAACTTGTGCGTTAACTCTGTTTTATATATTTTATATATACTGTATATTTACATGACATTTGCTTTTTTATTTTTTGTTTAAGAAACAACATTTTAACCCTTGTCACACCCTTTAACTTTTGCAACACCTTTTTATCTTGGTGCACTGCACAAAAACGGGCTCTGGAGACCAAGTTTCATCCTTAGCTTCAGTCCTTAAAATCATAATGAAGTTTTGTGTATTTCTGTGATATAACCCCTTTAATACAAGGTTAAGCACCTGGAATGTAAAAAGTTTTTGAAAAACTAAAAAAAGGAAATTATCGTCGTCGTCGTCGTCTTCCTCCGCTTATCCGGGTCCGGGTCGCGGGGGCAGCATCCCAACTAGGGAGCTCCAGGCCGTCCTCTCCCCGGCCTTGTCCACCAGCTCCTCCGGCAGGACCCCAAGGCGTTCCCGGACCAGATTGGAGATGTAACTTCTCCAACGTGTCCTGGGTCGACCCGGGGGCCTTCTGCCGGCAGGACATGCCCGAAACACCTCCCCGGGGAGGCGTCCAGGAGGCATCCTGACCAGATGCCCAAACCACCTCAACTGGCTCCTTTCGATCCGGAGGAGCAGCGGTTCTACTCCGAGTCCCTCCCGAATGTCCGAGCTCCTCACCCTATCTCTAAGGCTGAGCCCGGCCACCCTACGGAGGAAACTCATTTCGGCCGCTTGTATCCGCGATCTCGTTCTTTCGGTCATTACCCAAAGCTCATGACCATAGGTGAGGATTGGGACGTAGATCGACCGGTAAATCGAGAGCCTGGCTTTCTGGCTCAGCTCCCTCTTCCCCACGACAGATCGGCTCAGCGTCCGCATCACTGCAGACGCCGAACCAATCCGCCTGTCGATCTCCCGATCCCTCCTACCCTCACTCGTGAACAAGACCCCGAGATACTTAAACTCCTCCACTTGAGGTAGGACCTCTCCCCCGACCCGGAGGTGGCAAGCCACCCTTTTCCGGTCGAGAACCATGGTCTCAGATTTGGAGGTGCTGATCCTCATCCCAGCCGCTTCACATTCGGCCGCGAACCTACCCAGCAAGAGCTGAAGGTCAGAGCTGGATGAAGCTAGGAGGACCACATCATCCGCAAAAAGCAGAGACGAGATTCTCCTGCCACCAAACTCGACACACTCCACACCACGGCTGCGTCTAGAAATTCTGTCCATAAAAGTGATGAACAGAACCGGTGACAAAGGGCAGCCCTGGCGGAGTCCAACCCTCACTGGGAACAGGTCCGACTTACTACCGGCTATGCGGACCAAACTCACGCTCCTCTGGTAAAGGGACTGAATGGCCCTTAACAGAAAGCCACCCACCCCATACTCCTGGAGCGTCCCCCACAGGGTGCCCCTGGGGACACGGTCATAAGCCTTCTCCAAATCCACAAAACACATGTGGATTGGTTGGGCAAACTCCCATGCCCCCTCCATCACCCTTGCAAGGGTATAGAGCTGGTCCACAGTTCCACGGCCAGGACGAAAACCACATTGCTCCTCCTCTATCTGAGATTCAACTATCGATCGGACCCTCCTCTCCAGTACCTTGGCGTAGACCTTTCCAGGGAGGCTGAGGAGTGTGATCCCCCTATAGTTGGAACACACCCTCAGGTCACCCTTCTTAAAGATGGGGACCACCACCCCGGTCTGCCACTCCCTAGGAACTGCCCCCGATGACCACGCAATGTTGTAGAGACGTGTCAACCATGACAGCCCTACAACATCCATAGCCTTGAGATACCCAGGACGAACCTCATCCGCCCCCGGGGCTCCGCCGCTGTGTAGTTGTTTGACTACCTCAGCAACTTCTGCCCCCGAGATCGGACAGTCCATCCCCAGGCCTCCCAGCTCTGGTTCCTCCTCGGAATGCGCATTGGTGGGATTGAGGAGCTCCTCAAAGTATTCCTTCCACCGTCCGACTATAGCCTCAGTTGACGTCAGCAGCTCCCCATCCCCACTGTAAACAGTGTGAGCGAGTTGCTGCCTTCCTCTCCTGAGGCGCCGGACAGTTTGCCAGAACCTCTTTGGAGCCGATCGATAGTCTTTCTCCATGGCCTCACCAAACTCCTCCCACGCCCGAGATTTTGCCTCGGCAACTGCCACTGCTGCACCCCGCTTGGCTATCCGGTACCTGTCTGCTGCCTCCGGAGACCCACAGACCAGCCACGCCCTGTAGGCCTCCTTCTTCAGCCTGACGGCTCCCCGAACCTCTGGTGTCCACCAGCGGGTACGGGGGTTGCCACCACGACTGGCACCGGCCACCTTACGACCACAGCTAGCAACAGCCGCCTCGACAATCGCAGAGTGGAACAAGGCCCACTCGGACTCAATGTCCCCCACTGCTCTCGGGACGTGGTCAAAGCTCTGCCGGAGGTGGGAGTTGAAGACCGTCTTGACAGGTTCTTCTGCCAGGCGTTCCCAGCAGACCCTCACTATGCGTTTGGGTCTGCCAGGTCTACGCGGCATGTTCCCTTGCCATCTGATCCAACTCACCACCAGGTGGTGATCAGTTGACAGCTCCGCCCCTCTCTTCACTCGGGTGTCCAAAACATACGGCCGCAGGTCAGATGATACGACTACAAAATCTATCATCGACCTGTGACCTAGGCTGCCCTGGTACCAAGTGTACCGGTGGGCATCCTTATGTTCGAACATGGTGTTCGTTATGGCCAAACTGCGGCTTGCACAGAAGTCCAATAACAAAACACCGCTCGAGTTCTGATCAGGTGGGCCGTTCCTCCCAATCACACCCCTCCAGGTCAAGCTGTCATTGCCCACGTGAGCATTGAAGTCCCCCAGCAGGACAATGGAGTCCCCTGATGGAGCACTATCTAGCACTCGTCCCAGGGACTCCAAAAAGGGTGGGTACTCTGAACTGATATTTGGCCCATAAGCACAAACAACAGTCAGGACCCGTTCCCCGACCCGAAGGCGCAAGGAAGCTACCCTCTTGTCCCCCGGGGTAAACCCCAACACACAGGCAGAGAGTCTCGGGGCTAACAAAAAGCCAACCCCAGCCCTCCGCCTCTCACCCGGAGCAACTCCAGCAAAGTAGAGTGTCCAACCCCTCTCCAGGTCTCGGGTTCCAGAGCCAATGCAATGTGTCGAGGTGAGTCCGACTATATCTAGCCGGTACCGCTCAACCTCTGCCACAAGCTCCGGCTCCTTCCCCGCCAGCGAGGTGACGTTCCATGTCCCAAAAACTAGTTTTCTTGTCCGGGGATTGGACCGCCAAGGCTCCCGCCTTGGTCTGCCACCCGATTCACATTGCACCGGACCCTTCATGTTCCTCCTGCAGGTGGTGAGTCCACAGTTGGACGAGCCCATGTATCCGGTTCGGGCTGGGCCCGGCCGGGCCCCATGGGCGAAAGCCCGGCCACCAGGCGCTCGCTCACGGGCCCCAACCCCAGGCCTGGCTCCAGGGTGGGACCCCGGTAACCCTCCGGGCCGGGTACTCCGACTCTTCGTTTTCACCGCCATGAAAGATCCTTCGAACCGTTCTTTGTCTCACCCTTCACCTAAGACCAATTTGTCATGGGAGACCCTACCAGGGGCACTAAGTGCCCCAGACAACATAGCTCCTAGGATCATTAGGGCACTCAAACTCCTCCACCACGATAAGGTGACGGTTCAAGGAGGAGTTGTGTTATGTCCAAAGGTCTTGTTTTGGGAGTGAATTGTCAGAGCCTTAATTGTCACAAATGTGCATAAAAATGTTGTTATTTGCTCTTTATTTTTTTATAGTGTCAGATTTCCAGAAAAAAAAATCACTCCTTTCTCCATGGTGCACAAAACGTGCATTCAGTTCAATTCAATTCAAAAATACTTTATTAATCCCAGAGGGAAATTGATTGCTGCATAGAGACTAGAGTCCCATTAAAATGATAAAATATTTCACAAATCACATTTTTCACATGAATTTCATCCTTGGCTTCAGTTCTCACAAAACTAAATAAAATATGAGTGTGTTTCTGAGGTTTAACCCCTTAAATCCCAGGTTTATGGTAAAAAAAAACAGAAAAATGAAATATTTTTTGTGTGTTATGCAAAGAGGATGTTCTTTGGGAATTAGCCTTGGTGCGGCACAAATCTGCATAAAAATTGTTCTGTTGACTCTGTATCTCTTGTGTAGTTATATTTTCTGATAAAAGTCGCCTTGCATCTTGGTGCACAAAACCATGATCAAACCAACCTTCATATTTGAATATTTTTACAGAAGTGTTTCTTTTTTACGTGAATTTCATTCTTAGCTTCAGTCGTCACAAAACATGACAAAATATATTTGTGTTTCTGAGATTTAATCCCACAGGTTAGACTACTATTTATAAAAGAGAGGACTGGGGGTGATAGGGCAACGAAAACATACTTGGAAAAACCAAACTGTCATGATGTTGCGTTGTTACAGTTTTTTCCGACTGCTAAAACTCAAAATGCAAAAATGAGGCACAATTTTAACAACCTTCTGTTCCCAACCACTTGACTCATTTTATCACTACTTAAGATTTCCTTATCATATTAGAACTCTGATTTTCCTCCTTTACACTCTGATGTCAGTTTCACATTACCTTGCTGTCAAAACACAGCACACAATTTTCAGGTTTACATGCACTTCTCACATAAATTCTCAAAGCTTCAAACAACAACACACAAATATTCAAATCTCTAAACTTTCGGGTCTGGCGAGCAATTTGCAATCAGGGACTGCATCATAAAAGTTTCCACAAGGCTACCCAGGTGTATGGTAAGCATTTGAAGGTGCAGTATGTAAGAATATAGAGAGAATTTTACAGAGAAAATCCCAGAAGAGTCTAATGTTTCAGTCATTTTGGAACTGAAACATATTCCATACCCAGCTGGCTGTGGGGATTGTCAGTTTTTCTCCTTTCAAAATAAAAGAAGGCACTTAAAAGAGTAACTAAACCCCAAAATAACTTTTTTTTGCTAATAAACTGTATAATTGGGTCTTTACAAATACAATCTTTCTGTTTCTGTGCATTTTTTGACATGCTTGTGTAAACTTGGTTAAATCTAGACTCTAGGTATAAAACGTCTTAGTGCTGCCCCCTGTGGCAGAACAGCACCTACTGCATTTTAAACTTGTGATTGGTACAATTTCACGTCATCTGTACAGTCTCCTCCCACTCCCCCTCCCTCCCAGAATGGAAATTCCCCACACCTGGCCATGCTACTCTGCCTCCTGTCAACACC